ATAAAAAAACAAAAGGAAGATTGAATTTGGTAACGAATTTTTAATATAAGAGCGAAAAATTTCTCATCTAAAAGCTTTAATTACGACGACGTAGGAGTTTCTCAATATTGCTCAACAATCTTCAATATAATGTGATGAGTGAAAACGAATAGAAAATACTAATGATGTTATTTAACACATTTTTTGAAGAAATTTATGTTTGAAGAAAAATTGCAAATTTTAAACTGATTTAATTTTTGTTAATAACTTAACGAAATATGTGTAATTAATAAGTTGAAATAGAAATTAGCAGTTTTAATTTATTGAGACGCGAAATTTTAATTTTTACTATTAAGTAATTTTTTATAACACAGATATCAAATGAAGTCAAATAATCTGTAGATTTAGGAAAGTTAAGGTTATCGCCTGTATTATATAGGATATTTCAACGTATTGAATAATTTTTTCATATAGTAAAAGCTTACAATTCCAGATTTTTGGTTTGAAAGCTTACTATAACAGTTTTTTTGTTACAAAATAATTGACAACGTTTAACACGTTTGTTTAATCAATAACATTTTACTTTAACCTTTATATTTTCTTAATAAATTTGAAAATTCCCGTATTTGAGGCAAAATTAAGGTTTCTATTACTATTCCTTAAAATATATTAATTTTTAAGAACGCTAGGCTATTGCTAGACAGAGGCCGCAATTGCCCTACATGTACAAACTATCGCTCTGTAAATTAACAATTATTATAGTAGAATCACTGCGATAGTTGATCACAGCTCAGACAACCACTGGTTTAACAATCAACAAATCGTCTCGATATTCAAAATTAAAGTTTGCTTCACCGGTGTATAAGACATTTCCAATACTCTAATTCATTTTGCACAAAAATTTTCTTTAAATAAAATTAATATCCCCAACTGTACGGCTATAAGATAATTAAAATATTTTCAAAATTCAATTTATACATATTGCGTGTATTTGTATGTAATATGTATAATACAATTGTGATAAAATTTTCATACACTTTAAAACTAAAATTTTAGAAATTTTATTATTGTGTGCTTGTTCATATAATAATCTTATCATTAAAAAATTTAAGGGAAAGTTGCTTTTATTGAGAGCATACTGCAATAACAATTTTAACATTTTTAACTACAGGTCATTTACTATATTTTAGTTCCTTTCCACTTTTTTGCAAATTTTCATTGTGTGTACTTAATTATTTTAATTTTTTGCTAAGTATTTTATGTACACAAATATACTCTAATGTGTATATACTTACAATAATAAAGGAACTGGAACTATAAATACCAAATAAATTCTAATTTATTTTGAATGCAATTTGAACAATAAAAAATTTGTATATATGTATGTGTTTTACCTTCTCTAATCTATACTTATGATTTTAACTGTTATTTTAGTTGCTCTTAATAAGTTGGTGGTCTGTGAAAATTTTCAAAACCGGTTTAATAATATCAAAAAATTTATATAAATAATTTATGGCTATACATGAATTGCATATGTATATTTATATAATATACATACACACATACGTATGTTAACTTATAGTTACCAAAATATAATTACTATAACTCGTTCTATTTGTAAAATTTATAACGAAAAAAATAAATAACAATTTTCCCACTACTTTACAATCTATATAATTGCAAATTTGAACATTCACTTACATTTTTTAATATACATTTAATGAAAAGTACACATTTTATTGGGTGGGTCATCTATGATTTCCTTTTTATTTTGAAAGTGCTTTAAATTGAAACAAACAATTACTCAAAATTTTATTCAAAAGGTTGGTATTCTGAAGTCCTATTATTGTACAATAAAATCCTATTTGCCATCCTTTATTTACAATTATTTTCAAGAATTCGAATTTGCAAGAATTTCGATATCTGTGAGCAATTATTTAATTGTTGCTGTTCAAATAGTTTCTTATCGATATGTACAATACAAAGGACAATTCTCTCGAAATCAAATTCCAGTTGGATTCCAAACTTTCAATTTTCGAAAAAAAAGAAACTTATTGACATACTCCCATTATATCAGAGGAAACAAGTTGTCGTTCTATCAAAAACAAAATAACATATTATATTAAGTGTTGCCTTTATGCGTCATAAATTGTAGATTATTTATGAAAAACTTGTTAGAATAGCCCACCCTTATGTTCATTTATCTAACCTATACATATTATAATGACCTGAAAATAAAAAGGCGAATGTTAAAAAGCAAATATTTTTTTTTATTTTTCCTTATATTTTTCATTTTTGTTGAAACTCCTAATACCAAAATGCCAGATTGTAAATAACAAAATAGCAAGCAAAAAATTTAAATCTAAATCTGTCAATTAAGTTTAACTTGTAAGCTCTTGTAAATGTCTATATGCATATTTTTACATTATAATTACAGCATAATCACACAATATTCTCTCTCCTCTATATATAGCATTAGATTTAAGCTTATAGTACACTAGTACATTATATAGAAAACAATAACTAAGAAAAACAAATTCCTTGCAATGTGTAATTTCGTAATATGAAATATTATTATTGAGCTGAAAAAATAATGAAATAAAAAATTGAATAAATAACATTAAATTAAAAATTCATTTTCAGCATTCAGCGTAATCGTTTTAGTCTATTATATAGCTGAACCCCATAGCGTATTGTTTATCTTATTTTGCTTTGTTTTATATTGTCTTTTCAGAATATACACATTCATGTACCCATACAAAAATGTACAACAAAGATCCAGAAATAACACCCGAGCTATATTTTAATATAATTACCAGTAACTCTTAAATATATGTACATACATATATTTTAAGTGTTTTACCAATTATTCTGTTATACATTAAACAAGTAGAGTTATAAGATTTTCAGAGCTTTCTAAGATAACTTTTGATTCTTTTTATTGCTTTTTTTTTACCAATAGAGCAATAATGAATAAAGTAAAACAAAAAAAATATTTAATAAAGTTCTCTCAATCCATTACACTGTTTGACTGCATTAAGATATTTGTATATAGTCCTAGAGGTGGTATTTAAATTTTAATTTATAAAAAGACGAATAAATTGCATTTAATACTGAATAAAATCCCGCATTAAAAAATATCTAAGTTTCCAGGTTTTTAAATTCAAAATTTACTATTATTAGGAGTAAATCTAGTTACTAACTTTAATTTAAGATGACATCATTATAGCAGTAACTTGAAATATTGTAGAAAAAAAAATTTTAATACAAAATGTGGCAGCATTCATTTTAGCGAATCATATGAAAGGCTATTATTAAAACTATAGTGTATTCCCTTTCCGCTAAAATTTAAACCCCTTTTCAAAGTCTGAAAATGCATGTTTTTGACAAACTACTTTAAATTAAAAACAGGTTGTAAATTATTTCAACGCATACCTAAGAGTCAGGAAATGAAAGAAAGAGGACGTATTTCTTCTATCATAAAAAACTGTAAATAAATAAATAGACTGCCGAAGTGATTCTTGAAATTAATCGTCATCCTAATCCAGCTAATCTTTTAGTTTTTTCCTAATTTTTTAATAACTTTCTTTGTTTTTACTCCAACTCCTGAGTTATTTCTCATCAAGGTCTTCAAAAGTTAATTTTTCTTTTTTTAGCACTTTTCCAAAAAAATTTTGAAAAAAAGTGCTTATTAGTTTCACCCTATCCGTCCGTCCGTCTGTCTGTCTCTCTGTGTCTGTTTACAAAACTTCCACACCCTTGAAGATAGAAAGCTGAAATTTTACTAGAAGCTTATTTTCGTAGAACAAAATTTTTACCTATCTCCCCCCTCTAGAAGTTATACCCCCCCAAAATCCTAAAAATGGCCTTTTTTAACTATTTGTTGCAATGAAACCATAAGCATTTTTGAAATTTTGCAAACGCAGAAAGGCAGCAGCTTGCTTCCCCTAGCGCGGTATACTATAGTTAAACTTTAGAAAAACAAAATGGCCATTCAAATTTACCGTTATCTAAAGTCTTTTTTTTCCAAATTTTTGATTTCGTTTTTCTTCTAGACACCAGCCTGTAGAAGCTTGAAATTTTAGGCACTCTTTGACACTAATAAATAGTTAATTTCGTTAGAAGAAAATTTTTTTCCATCTCCACCCCGCTCAAGTTATCGCCTCTTGAAATTTGTAAAATTTGAATTTTTGACACCTTATATTTCCGAAACCGCAAACTGTTTCAAATTTCTATAAGCACTAAAAGCTAACGGTAAATTCCATGACATTAAAAAATATAATTATTTTTCTTAACTCACACAATTAACCTTTAAAATCGAGCATTTTGTTAGACCCTCTTCAGACTGCATAAATCGTTCATCCTAAATATATGCAATCCTAGAAATAGTTTTGTATATGAATGAAAATAATTTTAGTAGTGTGATTCTAAATGTACCTAGACTGTATTTAAAAACAGAATTTTCACTTGTTGAAGGGAGAAGTGCTACAATACAAACCATTGGTTTGACCCAACTTTATTAATATAATAATTCATTAAATTAATAAATGGAGCCAAAATAATTAAATTCTTAATTTTGAATAATTCATTAGTTTAAGTTTAATCGACCACACGTGCATACGAGAAGAATCTAAAATCTGTCGTTATAGTCACTTTCAAATCAAATTTTAAAACCAAAATGACAAATCTTATCTTAGCTCTTTGACTATATTTTTTCATGTTTATTTTAAATTTGCATTGTTATAAAATTTACCATTTACCATTAATTGTTGTTGTTGATTGTTTTTGTTGCTTTTATTTTCATTTTTAACTTTTCGTTTTCATTTCTGTTTTCTCACAAATTTTTTTTTACCATTTAAACTGGTAATCCCTCTCTAATAAGAAAAACTTAAATATTTCTTGTCTTGCTTTTTTTTTGTTTTTTTGTTATGTACACATATTTTTTTTTTATAGAAAATGTTGAAAAAGAGGTGGTAAAATAACTTTGATCAATTGGTTTTGGTGAGCTTGTTTATTTTAAATCCAGTTTTGTAGTTGTCGACGAAATTTTGGCTAAGAAACGTCGTAAGGTGTGGAATTAATTTTTTTTTTCGCGTTTTATTTGAAGGAAAAAAAACAATACAGACTTTTTTTTCCAATTTTTTATTTTATAAATTTTTTTTTACCTACAATTTAATAAAAAACAGAAAAATTTATAGCGAAAATTATAAGAAAAATATGAGAGTAAAATAAATAAAATAAAAAGAAAAGAAAAAAAATTAAATACGAAAAAAATAATTAAGAGTTTTTTTTTTAGTTTATTAAAAAAAAAAAAAAAGTTAATATTGGAGTGTGTTTAACCGACTTGAAGTTGGTCGGTATTACACGGTTCTTATTAAAACGAAATAAAAGAAAAAAAATATAAAAAAAATAATAAAAAAATATAAGAAAAGAGAAAAAAAGAAACGTAATAAAAAAATAAATTAGAAGTGAGTAACGTTTTAAAAAAATGTGCTTTTTTTGTTTTTTTTGATTTTTTATTCTTTTAAAAAAAAAATATCTTAAAAGATTTTTTGCTGTGAATTTCTATTGAGAGTTTTAAAAAAAAAAAATAATTTAGCAACAAAACTGCTCGTGCAATTTTCTTACTACATCACCACATCACTATTATAAATATGAGTTAATTTTTCAATGACAAAACACTTTAAATTCAATAACTCTCCTCTAGCTATATAAAACAATCGATAATATTATTGTATGTATATAGCTATATATGTATAATGTATATGTTCATATAAGTATGTAGACGTATAAAAATTCTGTACCTACAAACTAAAATATTTTGAGTACTAAATCTAAAATGAATAATTAATATAACATACAATTGACTTAATCTTAAATCGGATGTCGTTTACGAATATGACAAAATATGAGACTAAATTTACAACAAATTCTACACATGTTCTGTTTACATGTCCGATTAAAATTATCTGATGGAGTTCAGACTTTAAGTCAAAATTTTATAATTTGCTACAAAAATTGTTACCAATCATAAAAATCAGCTGATCGCTCTTTAAAACTCAAAATAAAAAATTGATTCTCGTCATTTTATCTTTAAAAAATTTGACAGTAGATATGATGAAAAAAGATTAATTTCCACTATTTTCGAAAGGAGAGTTTAATAAAAGTGTAATTATTGTCCGGCAAAGCCTGATATTGAAAAATGTTTACATATAGAACTTTTATCAGACTCAGATTAAGTCTTAGATTTTTCCATATATTATGTAAACCGTACCTAACAGAAAATCACTTAATACAATTTATGATATTGTAACTTGTGATAACATTTACTCAAAGAGAATATATTAAACACACACTGATGCATTTGTATTACTATTATAAGAATGTGTTTAACTCGATTTTGACTTAAAAAAACATAAGACGTTTTGGATTGTAGGCACAGAATTTATTTCGCAATAAAAACTTGATAAGCAGCTATACTTATTACATATGAATTTTAAAAAATTTCATTTTATGTTTTGCATATTATACATATATGTATGTACGCAGTATGCATGTATACATATATTTTATATGGATAAATATAATGATCATTGATCGTATATAAATTTTGTTATATCGCTACATGAATTCCACATAACATATACATACTTACCTACATAATTTTGCGAGCATATATAAATAATATGTATAGAGAATCTAAGCAGTGAAAGTAAATACAACTTAATTTGTATATACGTATATGTATATATAAAATGTATTTATCAATATAGATATATATATACAAGTATATAAAAATGAAAATTGATTGCAATATATATGTATAAATATGTAGGTAAAAGAAAATATTGTAAAAACAAGAAAAAAAGAAAACAAAAACTAGCAACTATAATTGAATCGAATATTTTCCTCTATTCTGTCTTATAACAGCGCGCTGGTAACACCATCAAAAATAAAATTTTTATTATAAATTTTGTTTTCAATTGCAGGCACACATACGTAATGGGAAAATTAAAGTATTAGAAATACTTGTGTATAATTATGTATAGTTATGTATGAATGAATGTATGCGCGTTTGAATTTAGAAATATATTAAAACATCTGTTTGTAATCGATCATTTTTTTCATATTTTTTGTTACCCACATAAATTAACCCACCTTTATGTGTGTACATATATAGCATGGAGTAAAATAAAAGAACAGAACAAGAACGTAGAATAATGCAAGTACGTGTGATTGTCATTATATTTATTATTGTCTATAAAGCACAACAAATTTAATTACATACATACATATCCATGCAATATACTAGTATATGAATGTAAAACGTTATCTGCATACTTTCCATTCAGCATTCCATTTAACCCTTATATGAAATAATAATTAATTTATTTTTTCTTTCCAATATTAAAATGTTTTATGGGTAAATAGGTAATTAGTTCCTCTTTCATTTGAAAATTATGGGCAAAATTAACTGCGTTTGTTTTGCAACACCTCGGCTAACTAAACAGCATTAAGAAAGAATACAAAAACAACAAAATTACGGTTAAAATTGTATTTACAATAAAATAGTTTGCGCAAAATATTTTTGTTGCTGCTAAACTTTTTGTAGTTCATTGAACATTCGTACATACCTACTTTAATTTTTTGTTTTTATTAATGGAAAATTTTGTTTTATAATATTTTTGAAATCGCCTTAAGTTATGCATTGTGTTTTCGCTTTTATTTTGTTTTTGTCATTTTTTATTTTTAGCTTTGTCTATTTTTCTTTTTTTTTTATATTTGAAATCAAAAGTCAAAATTCTTTTGTTTCTTATTTTATTTTTTGTTTTCCTCCTTTTTTTGTATATTTTGTGAAAAAAAAACAAACGTGTAAAAAACCTCTTAAATATAAATTATAAAAAAAAATGTTCGTTATGTCGTTCGTTCAACATAAATATTTTTTTATATAATTGTATTTGATTGACAGAAAGTGCTATTAACGGTATACTTTTTATCACCTTATTCGAATTTGATGGCAATAATAATTATTATTCATTCAACATAAAAACTCAAAAATCATAAATTATATTTAAGAAAAAAAAAAATAAAAAATTATACAAGAAAAAAATAAATCAAAAAGACAAGGTTATTTTATAAACGTAATCGAAAGTTTGTCAAAATATACTTAAAATTTATATGTATAGGTAACTACAATGGATAATTTTCGAAAATTCCTAAACTAATTTTAATAATTTATAAAAATAAAATTGAAAAAATTAGATAATTTTGAAAAAACGTGTGTTTACAAATAAAAACAAATTAAATTTACTTAAGAATATTAAGAATACAAAGCGGTAATTATATAAATTAAAAATAAGTAAATAAATTAAAATTATTATAAGAACAAATAATAAAAATTTTAATTTTAAAAATAATACATAAAGTATATATGATTAATTCATAAACATTTCACAGTTTGCAAATGAATAATTTTCATAATAATTATTTGATTTAATATTAAATTTTCATAAAGCGTAACACTCTGAAAACTATTAATAATAATAAATAAATAATTCAAATAATTTTTTTAAATAAATTTTAAAGTTAAATACTTAAAAAATATAATATTTTAAAACTATATATAAACAAATAATATTTTATAAAAATTAGTTTTGCATAAATATTTTAATAACATTAACATTTAACATAACAGTGTTTCTCAAATGATATTTTGCGTGTCAAAGTAGCTACTTCCCGGATTTTTAATTGTTATAGCAGGAAATATGTACAATAATCAAAATTTTCAAGTGCAATTTAATTAATTGCTCAATTTTTGTACAATTTAACCATATATTAAAGTAAAATTAATAGTACACGAAGATTGCATGAAAAAAAGAGAAAAAGAAAACAATTTTTACATGAATGGGGTGATAAAATAATTTTCAGCATTATTGGAAATGGAATGAAAGTTTTAAAAAAAATATATATATAAAATTTTACTAAATATAATAACGGATATTCTTTTACTGTTAAATTTTTCTTATTTTTATATTTAACATTTTACATTTCAATCAAATACAGTTGTCATTCAGTTTTGTTTGTCATTTCATTATTTAGCAAATGATTCCTGAGCACCAGACTTTTAAATTAAGTATTGGACTATTAAAAAATATGAAATAAATTGCGCTCAATGATTATGTAATTGGACTCATTCATAGATTATTTTCTTTTGCGGATTATTTCTTCGTCGGACGTCTTTATTGATTTGATATCCGGTATAAATTGCAGTTTTGGAAAATATTGTTTATTGCCATTAGCTACATTACCATCTGTGATATTCCGTCCGACATTCTACAAAGAACTGGCTCAATGGATTACGTTTCAAGTATATATTATAATAACTACATTGTGGTTTACCCTAAAACGAAATTACATTGAAAAATGGGAACATTATTATTCAAAATTAAAATTAAATATTCAGTTTAACATTTAAAATTAAACATTTTCAATTTTACAGTGATTTTCTTCAAAATTTTAAAATTAAATTGTTTCACTGTCAAAATCTTACAAGTAAACTTTTACATAATAAATTTTAAGCTCCTTATTTTAGAATTTTTTATTATAAAAAAATATTCGAATGAGAATTTGCAGATTTAATAAAAATGAGTCATAAAAAAAATTGTAAGCGTATTTCAATCATCACATGTGACACAACTTATTTTTGCTTAATAATTCTTAATGATTCAATTTTTAGGAAATTCTTATGATTTGTAATAAATAAACTTTATACCGAAGTATAATATATAAAAATTAAATTTAAGACAAAAACAAAATCCTTTTATAACTCGTAACACCTTATTCGTTCTCAATAATATCCAATGTTAACGCTCATAAATTTCGATAAGATTTTGTCATTACGAATTCCATAAGATTTTACATATTAGTCATTTTACCAAATATCTGATTTTTAGATCTTTTAGTTCCTTTATAGAAAGAATCTAATTTTTTCCTAGGATTCACTCATATTTTTCAAAATTTACAAATTTAAATATTTTTATTTTCCTTCTCCACTCCTAGTGCATGATATCATGCCCTAGTTTCATAGTGTCATAGGGTTAACTTCAAAGGTGACTAGCCTGCAATAACAAATTTAAATATATTTCAATATATTTGAATTTATTAAATTAAACTTTAATTTATGAAGCAGGTGAAGATTTAAACTGCTTTTGTTTCAATTACATGTTTTAATATTTCTTAGAATCGAAATGAAATTTTTTAGCTTAAAATCTTATAAAGTTTTAAAAAACAAATTTAAATTTTTTATAAAAAAAAAAGGCGCAATAATTCATTGAATTCAAATTTTTTTTTTCATTGTTAAAAACTTTGCAGATGCTTCACAACCGCACTTGAAGAAATTATACTTGAAATTTTGAAATCTTCTTTGAATTTTTAATTCTGCTGTATTTTTTTTGTTTTTGAAAGAAGA